TGTGCTTAAGTGAGTAGCTGAAAAACACTAATTGCAAAATAGCACATGCTAACTTGTTGATAGAATGAGAATGTTAAAAAAATCTCTAAGACTGAGGGAAAACAGCTTTGGGAAAGGGCCTCATCAGGTGATACCCCCAACCCCCACCCCGCCGTGACCATGGATAAAGAAAGGGCAGGGCTGTTGGCTTTAAAACAGGCAGAGCTGTTGGCTTTAAAACAGCACCTGACTGAAAGCTCTCTTTTGCCACCTTTCCTGACAGGGTGAAAACAGTTTGTGAATTAAAAGTTTTCTTAAGCTACTGTTTTAGACTCCTTGTCTGTTGTGTATAAGTAGGGTTGGGACTTGTGTCAGATCCAGGTTCTTACGGAAACTAGAATGTTGTGAAGGTCTGGGTGCGTGTGTAAATCAGCATGGGCCTTCACATACAGTTCCTTGTTTAACTTACAAGACAGCTGAGTGTCTCAGACACGAGGACACTAAGGCTCCCAGGACCCAGGTAGAATCGAATTCAGAATTGTCTAGTTGTAAAGCATAGTTCATCCTTTGTGCTTCTATCGAAGATAGGAAATTGGTAAAAGCAAGAATTTTTAGATTAGCTTGCTGCCATGAACTCAGTGGTGACGAAGGGAAGCTAATTTGTGAGAGTTCCATTGGTTAAAGCCCTATTTCAGCACATAGTGCTGAAATTGGTCCCCTTTCTGGGTCCAGGTGGGGTGTCCTTTAGCTGGTAAGATGAAAGGCAGAGTTACTCCCCTGAGAAATGCAGAGTCAGGAGCTGGATGGTCAGTACAGTGACCCAGCAGTGATGAAATACATGGCCATGCATCCACTGACCCAAGAGCAAGGGCCTCAGCTAGGGTCCCAGATGTGCTGGAGTGAGAGCTGGAAAGATAGACAGGCAGGAGGTAGCCAGGGAAGTCATTGAAGGTAAAAGAGTCATTGTGTCCAAAAATAGAGAGTTGTGTGATGGTGCCTGGAGTGACCTCAAAGCCAGGTGCTGCCCAGCCTTGGTGTTAAGGTACTCATACCCAAGACACAAAAAGCCAGGTACCTCACTGTGCACCTGTGATCCCAACTACACTAGAGGCTGAGGTGGGAGGATATGAGTTGTAGGCAGCCTGGGCTACATTGGGAGACCCTGTCTCGAAACAAAACAAACCAACCACAGAGAAGGCGTAATGGAGCGTCTGTGGCAGTATATTTGCTCCACTGCCAGAGGGACATTGAAGCTCCATGCTTTCCCTGTGAGCAAAAAAGGCCATCAGAGCAACCACAACAATACATTTTAATAAAACAAATGAACAGTTGGAGTTTGAAAAGACAACATCCCTCCTCCAAACCCACGTACACACTTTTTATAGAGTCCATGGTGAGCCCTACCCCATGGGTGCTCCAGTACCACAGTAGCCATCCCCCAAGTTGCCCACACGACCCCTGCGTGTCCCCCACCTCAACACGCTGAGCCATGTGTCTTTTGTTTCTGGAGAGCAAGGCTCATCGCTGTTCCTCAAGTTAGATGTGGCTTCATGAGAACTCTTGCTAAGAAGTCTTCCATCGAAGTTAACTGGAGCACCTGCTCTTTTGGAGACTCTCAGGTACTGCAGCCCCGCACAGGCTCATGTTGCCTATGAGAGGTGGACACAGATGACAAAGGTCCTGACTAGGGAAATGACAAGGACTCTTGAGGTCGGAAGTGCTCTGGAAGCCCATTGGTTGGTTTGTATTGTGCCATAGTCACACTCAGGGTAAATGCTTGTCCCCATGAAAGGCTTCTCATGTAGGAGGTGACATTTCATCCACATCAGAAGGGAGAACAGCAGGCTTGAGAAAGGCTGGCACTGAGCTTTAAGTTGTGTGATGCCACACTTGGTGTGTGACAGTTCCAGAGGGAGGGCAGCGATGACGGAAACAGGCTAGGTGTGGCCTGACCTTGTTGGTTGTGGGGTTGGCTGGCTGCTCTTCCTCATACACCATACAGGAACAGTTGGTGAGGGCCTGGGTGTGGGCTCTGCTTGGAGTCGCTCAGGGGCTGATTCCTTCTCCCAGTTCTCTGAGCTGTCAGCACCACACATGGCGGCTATGGCAAGAGGGATGGGGTGGCATGAGGAGAAGAGGCATGTCCTTCTGAGGATGTGGTGTAGAAGATGCAGGAGCTGCTCACATTCCTGTCCTCTTGGTTGGAACTTGCATACCCAGCTGCCTGAGAGGCAGCGTTGACTTTCTAGGTAGCCCTGTGTCTTGCTATAGTGTGGGGGTTGTGTTCCAAAACGGAAGAAGGAGGCTGAATGTCTGGGGTCAAGTTGTCACTGTCACAAAGCCAAATCCAGAAGTTTGACATCACCTCACAGTGTGCTGGGGCGAATGCCAGGCACATCTGGCTGTGTTATGGTGAGGAGAATGGATTCTAGTGCCTAAAGCAGACTGGGTCTGGCTCTAGGACACAGGACTCATGGACCATGCCAGAGGATGTAGGCTCAGTATTACCAGTAAAAACCAAGAGAAAAGAGACTAGGTGGTCAGTATTCATTTAGACATCAGTGGTCCTGTAAGAAACATGCCTTTCATTCATTCGTGTGAAGATTACCATAGACACAGCTCCACCCACAGGGAGGACAGTAGGCAGCCCAGAAAAACTGTTGTGGAGCCTCTGCTGTCACAGGACTCATGTTCCAGTGAGACCAGCACAGGCAGCAACAATACACGCAGGACAACTTCAGATGGGAGCCAGAACACAGGCAGGCCCTGGGCAGAAATACATTTGGCTGTGATCAGCAGGGAAATCCAGGACGGCCAGAGGAGAGTGACTTGGGTGCTCCATGGGAGGTGAGATGAAAGGTAGGCGAGCGCCAGAGGTGTAGGACTTGGCGGTTGATTCTGAGAGCAGTGGGAAGAGCCCAGTAAAGTGATCTGACCTGTGTCTCAGACCCTCCACCAGCTTCTGCATGGAGGCACTGAGTGGATGGTGGAATACGGGACTGTTTTCATAGCTGCTTCCCAAGAGTGGACACTGCTAGAGTGAAACGTGAAGCCTATGCCCTTTCTGACAGAGTCCTGTGGGGAGGTCCCTGGAGGCACTGGTTCAAATGCAGATCCTGCACCTGCCCTGCCTACCTCATCAGAACATTCCAGGTTCCTTGTGACCCTCCTCTTTCATGAGAATGGCCCTTGTCCCTTGTGTCCATGGAACTTGTCAGAAATGTTGATCTCAGACCCCAACCCAGACCTGCACAACCAACAGCCATTTTCAAGTTCCCAGAAGCTCTTGTGCTGTATCCACCAGTTAGTGTTTTTCTCTCTCTAACTGGCACCCCCCCACACACACCACAATGCTGATAGACCCTTCCCCTGCTCCCAAATCACCCTAGCCATACAAGATGGGAGTGTAGTGCCAAACAGCCTGCCTGGGCTAGCTCAGAATTTAGGATTCCTGGAGGATGTGAGGTAGATGTGAGGAATTTATAAACAAAGAACCTGTGGATATTCGTTTGGTGAGGTTGCTGTATGCAAAGTGGTGTTGTAAGAAGATTAATGTGGTGGCAATGGGCAGGATATTGCAAATACAAGACAGCGGAAGGCCAGTGGAGGCCAGCAGGTAGCTGCAATTACTGAACTGTGGGAGGCCGCTTTATGCTTTGCCTTTTGTATTACCCATCACACTGAATCGTCTAGAATATGTATCTGTTATTTTTGCTGCCCAGATTTTAAAAAACACCACCACCTGTCTAGGCTCAGTGTGGGACTGGCCCAGACTAGGGTGGGCAGTGAGACAGAGGCAAGGAAGAGTGATTGCTGGCTGCTGAAAGTCATGGTTCCACCTGTTCTTCTCCCCCCACTCCCCCAACTCTGGTATGGGGGTTTGAACTCAGGGCCTACACCCTGAGCCACTCCACCAGCTCTTTTTGGTGGTTTTTTTGAGATGGGGGCTCGTGAACTATTTGCCTAAGCTGACTTCAAACCACAATCCTCCTGATCTCTGCCTCCCAAGTAGTTAGGATTACAGGTGTGAGCCACTGGCACCTGGCCTGCCTGGTTCTTTTAAGAGTCTGTTTGCACACCCCCTCCCCTCTGAAGACCACCTCCACTTGAGCATCAGATAGTGCTTACACAAAGAAGCTTGTAGGATGAGTATCACAGTGGGTAAAGGATGTCAGGTCTGGGTAGCCTGGGCAGTGATGGTACTTTTGAAAGCAGGAGCTTTGAGTGGTGGCTGGTTTTGGAGAAAAGATCTCAGGTTGTCTTTAGGTGTTTTAACTTTGTCATCCTGCTGAGGGAGACACCAGGCTGTGGACAGACAGAAATGGAGAAGAAAGTAAAGGTGGCATTTGATTTCAGACCCTAGAGCCAGTCCTTCCTGAAGCCTCCAAAAACTTAATGTTTGGGTCTCCTGGGGTTCCTGGAACCACATCAGGCCAGCGGAAGATGCCACTCCATCCTCAGCCATGTATTTAGCTGTAGTAGGTTCAGTCCAGATGTGTTGTCAGTTCACAGCAGCAGAGCCTGCACCTGAGCTCAGCCCTGGGAGTCTAGGGAAGCCACCGCCCCCTCACGTGTCCCTCTGAAATTACCACTGCCACTCGGGCCCGCAGCAGCATCAAGACCCAGCTTCCATCTCTGCAGTAGAGTCCAGCTCTCCCAGGTTTCTCAGCAGGAACACTTGCAGTCTGGATTCACTAGCATATCTCATAGCTCAAGTGGTAGAGAGCCTGCCTAATTAAGTGGAGGCTCTGAGTTCAAACAACAAAAAAAAACCCTAGGTTTTTCTTTTCCTCCAAAGAAAACTTGTTTCACAGGTAGGACAAAATAACTCCAGTAAGTCTGTCTTGTAAAAAGAATAGTGGTTGGGTAATGAAGGCTCCCCAGAAGCTGGGCATGACATTCAGCCCTGACAGTAGGTCAGTGTGGTTCACGGACCCTGGCATTCAGAGTCGGCCTCAGGCATGGAGAGCTCAGGGAAGAGGAGGCCTGCAGTTTACCATGCCTCCGTGCTCTCGTTCCAGATCATCAGAAAGGCACTTACTGAGGACAAGCATGTCTCAACAAAAACATCCGCTGCAGATCTTGTCACAGAAACAGATCACCTCGTGGAAGATTTAATTATTTCTGAATTGCAAAAGCGGTTTCCTTCACATAGGTGAGTGCTTTCCGTGGAGAACACACCCCAGTCACACTTGCCATACTCATGAAAGCCAGGCCCCTTTTGTCACTGAGGGGAAGACGTGCACACTCAGCTGCCTGCTCCAACTCCTGGTCCTCCTATTATAGGGGAGTTAAAGTGACCCTTGTTTGTATTCTCTTCACTGTTGTCTTGACAACATGTCCACATGTCACTTTACAAACCCATGCTCAGGGAAGCTCCTGCACCCCCACACTAAGACACTGTTTCTGGAGGGAACTGGCAGAAGCCTGACCCACCTGAGGAGCCTGGGGTAGTGACATCTTGGCAGCTGTGCCTGCTCAACTACCCAAGGACTTGTACCAAGGTGGGACACAGGGTGGATTGTCAGCTGTGTGGGACCTCAGTGCCCTGCAAAACCACGCAGTGGGATACCAGGCACCTCTCCCCCGAGAAGGCCTCTTCTCTAGAGCTGGAGATCTTAATCCTTTTGGGGTCACCCTGTAGAGGATTTGATGCAAGCCATTCATCTTTTCCTCAGAAAAATTAAAATACACAGCATTTTGCATATAGGTCCAGGGGAGCCGTAGGCCCCAAAGTAAGACCTCTTTAGCTCAGGGACTCTGCGGCTCTCCCTCATCCCGGAATTCTGCAGAGCAGATTGTGAAAACCAGTCTCTTGGATGCAGGGGGCTTCTTTTCCTCATGTGGAATCAAAGATGGTGGTTTCCTAAAACTGAAATAGCAGTCACTGGATTTCTGGACATAGATAATCCACATTTGTGTGGGTTTAGGTGACAGAAATATGGAAGTGTCATTGTCTGTTCCCCACGTGATAGGCTTCATACATACCCCCACCCCATGCCATCCCCGCCACTACCCAGTGGATAAATACGCAAACCAAAGAACAAGTCAAAGTGAAAACATTGACCTTCTCCTTTGTTCCCTTCTGACTAGTTAGGTTATCTCAAAGTTACCAGCTTTCCTTATATGCACTCACAGCCCAGTAATTCCAGCACTCCAAAGGTGGAGGCCAGTGTGGGCTACACAGCAAGACCTTGTCTCAAAAAGAAGTTCTGTCTGCCGTGGGTCATGCTTGTTTTGCTTTGTTGACAACCTCTGCGTCTGAGCTTCTCTTATTTCCTATTTCTTTAGTTAGTTTGAAGTCAGGACTCTTGGCATATGCTATAACATTTATAAACTCAAAAATATTTGTGTTTTTACCTTTTTGTTTTCTTGTGGTGCTGGGGATGGAACCCAGAGTCTCAAGCATACTGGTCAAGCACTGTATCACTGAGCTATATCCCCAGCTCCAATTTTTAGCTTTTTAAAGTCTAATTTTAATAGCAATGTTAAAAGAATTTATCATACAGCTTTTATTCTTTGAAAGGAAAAATGCTACAATAACCAACCAGCTCTTTTTAGGTGCTCTATTAACTGCTTTGGCCTGGAGGTTTCTATGGTAACTGTAATGGCTGTGACAAGAGTGAGGGTGGCTCTTCTCTTGGGGGTCTAGTAAAGGATTTGAAGTCACCACAAGACTGGGCACAATGATGTTTTCACGGCTTCTGGTGTGCTTCAGTCAGATTACCCAGATAAACTGCTTTCTGACATTGCAGGCCCTCTCATACATATGTGCCAGCAGCGGTTGCTAGTGGTTCAGATCCACTGTTGTGTACATGGATGGAGAAGACTGCATTTATAGGCAAATGTAAATATCCACTGCTGCATATGCAGGGAAAAGCTAATGTATTATGGGGTGAGCAGAGATCCCCTACTTCCATCCTGCAGGGACCACTAGGCTCCTGCCCCTTTGGAAAACTGACCCAGAGCTGAGTGTGAGTTAGACTCACCTAGAACCTTCTCCAGCAGGCTTGAGTCAGCTCCATCTGGGGGACACAAATGCCCATCTAGGAATCAGTGACTGAGAGCTGTGGGTCCCAAACTCCATCCACATGTGGGTGCTGTCCTGTGCTCAGACTCTGGCCACTCCACAGGCACTGCCAGGCCCCTTGCCACCCATTACTTGCTCTGGGACAGGACTGAGGCTGCATGCTGATGCTCAGTTTGCTTCAAAAATTCAGATTAAGTAAGGATATTTTCAACATACCTGTGTGAAGTTTGGTTTTTGCTCACAACTAAGATTTTAAAACCAAATGGGTATGTAATTTATTTTAGATCATAGATGAATTGATAACTTTGCAATGAGAGAAAAGATATATATGTATTATAATGAACATGTTGCATTTTTCTGCTTTCACTAAATTTAAATATTTCCTTTAGACAGTATGTTAGCATAAGGTTACCTGTTCTTTTCTGTAAGGAAGAACTTTGATTCTGAGCTTTTGTCCTTCCTTGTTTTTAGTCTTTCATGAAACAGTATTGAGATGGAGTGCAGCTATCTTTGTTTTTAATAAAATAAAAAACAACCTGATTTCCTATAAGTTTTATTATTTTGTTTTACTCATTCATGAAATCCAAAATCTTGGGTCCCTGACCTGGAAGGCAGGCACAAACTGAATTAAATTGCTATAAGGTTTAAACTTGCCTCTGCCTGCAGCCCTAGCAGCTTTGGCAAATCACTGCATTTCTCAGGGACTTGAACTCCTCACTTATGAGTGAGGAACCAACGAGGCCCCAGCGTCTACCGTGTAATATGTTGTAATGGCAGAAAGCAAACCCACAAAGTAAGGCTAGGATTTTACTGGAGTGTGCTGTCAGTGTTGACCACCTAGCTTATCTCAGTCCACACCCTGCTTTGTTGACTCCTGAACCTGCTTTCAGTTGATAATTTTGAGTTAGGTCCAAGTATACTTCTACCTAGTGATGCACTATACCCAGTGCATCACTGACCTGTTAATAAGACCCTGTTGTCATCCCTTTCTCCTGAGCAGCCTTGTCTGAGATTGTCCAGGTTGGTTCAAGCAGGGAAGAAGGTGGTAGCTTGAACTGCTTGCTCAGTGTGTTCAGCCACCTTCTCTGACCCTTGGAAGGATGTGGTAAACTGGCACCCTGTGGTCTGCTCAGCACAGAGCAATGTCTGTTGAGTGCATGAGTGAAGTGAACATAAAGCAGAGTCCTTGATGCAGGAGCAAACATGTTCCCACTGCCATCAGCTTGACTTTTGCTTCCAGTAATTTCCTCATTTTGCTTTGCTCTGGACTCAGGTCTTCCCAGGGAAGTGCCTGGGTATGTATGTGGTGGTGGTGGGGGTGGGGGGCGGCGTGCAGCTGGCATTGGACTGCAGTTCAGGAGGGTAGGGCCAAATAGCATCAGTCATTTCCTTACAGGCTGAGGAGACAATCCTGACTTTCTTGTCACAGAGTAAACACGCTCAGTAGCCAGAAAAAAAAAAAGTCTTAGAAGCACTTGACTGTCAAAACTACAAGGAAGGTAGGTTTGTTACAACTACTTTAAAAAAAGGAAAGTAGTAAAGTTATGCAGCAAAATGTAACCTTTTACCAATCTTGGGACCTTAGCCCACTTGATATTTTCCTCTTGTCTGTTAGATAGGGTTATGAAATGTTCCTTGAGCTCCCTAAATTAAGTTAAGCACATTGGTTTGTTTTTTTTTTCCTATTTGTGTTATGGATTCTGTATAGATGTTCCAACAAAGGTTCACATGCACATCTGTCTAGAATAATGTCTGCAGAGTGGGCTCTCCCACTGCCCCTGCAGAGAGCTATAGAATGCTCTCTCCCCTTCCTGAGATACTTGCTTCCAACATGAAGAAATCAGGTTTATATGATCAGATATGTACTTATGTTTACATTTAACTTACAGGTCTAGCTTCCACATATGAGGGAAAACATGAGACCAAAGGAAGTATTTTTGATGCCTTGAAAACCTGGAGTGGCTCATGCTTCTGGTAGCCATAAGTGACCCTGCCCTGACTGCTGCCCACAGGTGTGAGGCAAGCAGGGAACTGAGGAATGTGCCCCCACCTTCTCACAGGCAGGTGGGCCAATTTGCAGAATGGCCAAAAAGGAGGGCAAAGGGCATGACTAAAATAATCAACTGCTGAAAAGGCCCAGGATGACCACAGTGTCTCCATCAAAAAGTGCCACGTGCAGAGGAGCATTGCTAACTGGAGCCTTACAGTGACCCCCGGCTAATGTCCCACACATTTGTCCTATGAATATGCAGCCCGGATGGCTCCACCTGCCCTGAGAGACCCATGGGCAAGCCGGCTGGGCTGCCTGGTGGATGGGTACATCAGGCTGGACGTTTGGGCCCACAGACATGCACTCCCTTCTCCTTCCTGGCCCAGAAGCTTCCTCTCTGATTTCCTACTTGAAATCAGGTTTAAAAAGAAGGATTTCCCATACCTCCTCACTTTCCTGGGAACTTTGTGTTTGCATTTCTACTCCTTTGACTCAAGCCATATCTTTTTGCTGCTTTTATCAGCTTTGTACCCAATTTGAGCTTTGGCACCTGCTCCTTGTAAGTGTGCTTTTAGGGTGTGGTGTGTTTTCCTTAAAAATATTACAAACTACTTTAGGAGAGGAGAACCATGGAGCTGCAGAAGACGACGTTAAAAACAGTATTAGTTCCTTAAGACTGGCTAAGAAAGTAACAGAGCAAATGCCACTTACAGTGCCACCTAAGTAGAATGGTTCTCTGTGCAAAACAGCTGCTGGGCTCAGGTGCCCAGGCTTCCCTACACTGCCCTTGCATTGGTGCACCTAGCAGTTCCATCTGTGCTTGTCTGGGGAACACCAATCTCTGAGCATGGGCTCTACTTGGCACATCTGAGTCACATGTCTAGAGGCAATGGAGGGACTGACTGATGGGGGAGGCAGCTCCCAGGAGGAGGAAGCACACGGTGCAGCTGGAGTTCCTGGGTCTCTTCTGCCTTATCTGTCCGTAGGCTGAGCTCCAGAGGCTAGGCCAAGCTGCCTGAGCTCTCCAGCCTCTGCCCAGTACTGCCCAATGCTGCTGCCAGCCTTGGCAGTCATGGGTTTTGCCTGTACTACCCACCATGACAGCCACTAGGCTTACGTAATTGTGGAATACTTGAATTTAATTAGTGAGAACTGAACTAAGAAATTTTAAAGGATTTATTTAATTTAAATTTAAACAGCCACATATGACGAGTGACTGCTGTGACAGGCAGAGCAGTTACAGAGGTTTCCATTCTGTCTTGTCATTTGCAATAATGTATTGTCAGTCTTGTCTGCAAGCTCACTGATGCCAAACCTTAGGGCACATGGTTCCTACGGGGAACGTGGATCCAGGAGAGCTCTGAGGTAGATAGAGGGCAGCTGTGGATGACCATGATTGATAATGCACCAAATGGCAGCAGTAGGGCAGGAAGCAGTTATTTTTTACTCATTTTTACTTCTGAGCAAAAATGCGTTCTCTGGAGGTCTCCGTTTTCTCTTGTGTGGGTGTGGATAGAGCAGGAGAATGTAGTGGAAAACAGCAGAGCTCTGCGTTCATGTTCAAAACCTGTGTGTACTCAGGACGGGGCCTGGTACAACTGCTTCCACACTTGGGACAGTTTGGGATGTAGTCCAACAATGCGTTGTGTGCTTCAGATATTGCCTACTCTATAGCTGAGACACCTCCGAGAGAGTCTCCCAGGGACCAGCTCACAGGAGGCAGGGCTGTGAGGCAGACTTGGCCACAGGAAGGGATGAGGAACTTCCTGGATTTTGGTCTGAGCATCTGCGTTCTGGTGGAACCATGTGGAGAAAGCCAGGAGTTCCCTTTTATCCAAGTTAATCTTAAGATCTTGCTTTTCTTGTTGGGCTCCTAACAGGAAGATGGTGTGCTTATGGAAGGACAGTTTAAGGAGACTTTTCCACAGAGGGCCTCATTACAAAGGAGGGGCTGGCTTGGGGCCCATTGCAGAGAGTGCAAGAGCCCGATGCTGGGAGCAGACTGCCTGTTCCTGAAGGAGGAGTGTTGAGGTCACCCAGAGGAATAGGGACTTCCATTCCTGCTTTCTCCCAAGCTAGAGACCAGAGAGGGGAGGGTAGAGGAGTTTCCATGGGGAATGGGATATATAGGGCCTGTGGAGTGGGTGACAGACCATTGTCACCTATCTGTGTCAGTGCAGGTGACAGTTAACTCCTCCATGCCCCCCGCCCCAGCACGGCCAGTAGGAAAGCCAAAGCAGAGCCTGGGCCCTGCTCTGCAGGCCAGCATTCCTCACCTTCTCTATGTCTCACTGGCCTCTTTGCTCCAGACTTAAGTGAGAGCAGAGTCTAGCTTTTCCTCTGTGGGATCTGTGGTCAGGTGCTCTGTGCTCTTATGTCTTTCCACCTGGTCTGCTCCATTTCCCTGGGCTCTTCCAAAACTCTGACATTGAGGACTCACTTTGGGGTTGGGGTGGAGATTGAACCTAGAGCCACATGCATGTTACACACTCTACCACCGAGTCACACCCCCACTCTGTCACTGTTTTCTCACTGGGTCAGAGGGCTGGCAGACAGATTGAGAAGGTGATGATCTTTGGAAGACTCTGCATGCTTGAACTGGAGAAACCATCACGAGATCTCTTTGCTGTGCCTCCTCTTTCTTAAATGCAACCAGAAGCAACTTGAGGCACGTTGCCTTGTGTTCCTAGTGTGCTTTCTCAAGCTGAGCCCCTGCCCCCGGCAGGTTCATTGCAGAAGAAGCCACGGCCTCGGGGGCCAAGTGTGTGCTCACCTCCAGCCCAACCTGGATCATTGATCCCATCGATGGAACCTGCAACTTTGTGCACAGGTGAGCAGGAGCTAGAAGTGCCTCCTTGCAGGATTTCACATGTCCTGTAAGTTTTTGTCTTTTCAAAAACAGTGTATTTGAAGGCAAGGTATATAAACAAACCTCTACCAGGTTTATAGTCTCACGAAGAAGATGATGAAATCTTGATATTTTTTAAAAGGTTTTCTACTCATGAGAGGCTCTCATGAGTATATAAGGAAATCTTGTTTAAAAATGTTTTTGACTGGGGCAGTAGCCCAGGCCTATAACCTCAGCACTTGGGAATGTAGAGGCAGGAGGATTTGGAGTATGAAGCCAGCCTGGTCTACATAGTGAGAACTTGTCTCAAAAAAAAACAAAAAAAAAGTTTTGTTATGTTAAAATGTTGGTTGAATTTGAGAGGAATTATGAGAAGTTCTCCTTAGAAGAAGTCAGGGTTAGAAAAGGAGGCCTGTGCTCACCTGCTGCCGAGCTGAGATACAGTGTGTGGGACATGCTGGTGAGATTTAAGAGTGGCTTTTGGGATGGAATCAAACCTCTTGGGTGCAGAAGGCAGGCGGTTTGGGGAGGTCAGAGGCATTCTTGGAAGGAGCGGAAGGAAACTGAGCTGCAGAGCTGGGGAAGTAACAGACATGACTACAGAAACTCCCTAACAGTGATGAGTATGGGAGCTGTGTGTATATGTCCATGGCCATGCATAAGTAGCCAAGGATCCAGAGGCATAGAACATGATGTGGCTTCTACCGAGGCAGTCCTCTGATTTGACTGTACCTGGAGCACCCTAGAGAGGCTTGTGTTCTGCAGACAGGGCTGCCCACAGGATCATGGGTGGATAAGAAGCATGAGCAGAACAGGCTGTGGGCTTATCCCTTGTTTGCCTCCATGGTATACTTGTATGTGAAACAATGCCAGGTACTACTGTATTGAGCATAACCACTTTCTAAATGAAGTTCACCTTGAGAATCAGTCATGCCTAGACAAGGTGACCCTTTTGAGTCAATGGAGTAGTGCCATCTGGTGCCACCAGGCTGTCACTTCAACTAAATTATGGCCTCTCCTGGGGTTCCCCTCCTGTATATTTCCCTGAGTGAGGTACCTGTGCACTTCTGTCCCACTTGTCATCTAAGGTGAAGGTGCTCATAACGGAGCAATGCAGTGGGCTAAGCTCCATCCCACAGGAAGTGCCACATGTTCATCTGAGGGTCTTTCTGGCTCTGGTGCCCCGTGGCCTCCAATGTTTTCCTGTCTGTAGCCCTTCAGGGGACCTGGGACTGGAGAGTGAACTGGGAAAAAAAGCATCCACCGAAAAACAGGCTCTAGCCTTGGTCTAACAGTTCCAGAACCTAAGGTCACAGCTGTAGTACTTGGTCTGTGCCACTTAGAAAGCCCCGTGGAGCTGAGGAAAGCTGCATGGGGCACATTTGCCTAGGGAGTAGTGGAGGTATATAGCCTGATCTTCAGTTTCCGGACACCCAGTGGTCAGGGCTTTGCTCATGAACATCTAGATTTGTAGTTTTTTTTTTTTTTTTCATTTTCTCACTCCTTCCTGTTTTTAAGCAGTGATCTTCTTTACATAAAGGTGATATTATTTTGAGCAACAACAACAAAATCAAAATAAAACCACAGTCAAACTGTGACATAAAAACTGTCCCTCTAACACTGTGTTTTCCCTGCTGTTCACTGCTGGGAGCTCAAGCAAGAGACAGGGACAGAGGAGTGTTGCCATTGCTAGAAGGCATCTGGTGGCTCAGAGCTAGTAGTCTCGGGCCTGTGATGTTGCCTCTTGGGGCCTCCATGCCCAGCCTGGAATGGGGACTGGCTTTTTGGGGGGTTCCTGCAAACTAGAAATCTGATTATTAAAATCATCCCTAGTTGGGTATTAGATGATCGTTGCTGAATTACATCAGTCTTATATGACTTTCAGAACATTGTTTTCTTCAAAATTAACCATCTTACAACATGGCCAGCTAGTCTGTTTATCTTGGAAGCAGTTAGTGAAATTAGGGGAAGTTGTTTTTTATAAAAAAAAAAAAAACCCTAGCCAGAGTGTAGAAAGGTTCTTATGATTGAGGGAAGGTACCATACAGCATGGACTTTGAGGGCTTTCAATCACATTTCACATGTAAACCATTCTGTTTTCTTTTACAGATTCCCTACTGTGGCAGTTAGCATTGGATTTGCTGTTCACCAAGAGGTACACACGGCCCTCCATTTTGGTTTCAGTCTCTACACTCCTGTTTGGTCTTTGCCATGTATCTTACTCATTACTAGTAAATCCAAGTATATATTTTTCAAGCCCAAGAAAGTAAACAAACACAGACTATTGGGGGTTTAGGGCCTTATGACTGGTGCTCACCCTTCACTGGTAGCTGGCCCGTTTCTGCTGAGGTCTCTTCATGGCTGCTGTGAAAGGCAATGTTCTGAGCAGATGCTCCATGCCAGTCTCCATCTGACCTCTAGAGCGTGTGACCTAGTCACAAGCAAAAAGGAATTCCTATTTTTGGATAACATTTTTAATCTTGATATTCTATTCTTTTTCATCTCCCCCTGGCTGTTAGTATGAGAATATGGCTCTGTCAGGATTCCCAGAGACCTTCTGAACTAAGCAATAGCATGAGACCTTCAGAAAAGGCATGGACTGGAGGCTCAAGCAAGAGGGCTTATATCCCTGTAGTAACTACAGTCCTAGGTAATTAGGGATGGGAGCTCCATGTCTCTCAAAAGTGGCCCCCCTTTAGAACAGCATGTGTCATTATCATCCTCAATATCAGTATAGATTCTCCAGCACGAAAAGCATACATCTCAAAGAACTTAAGTCAGAGATCAGTAAAAACTTGAATGTTGAAATTTGGGTAAGGCATTGATAATTCAATGTTTTCTCTGTTCCGTATCACAGAGATCAGTGAGTACGGGATTCTCTTAAGGGTTGATGCTCCTGACCACCGGGTTACCAGTAATGGGAGAAAGGGTAACCAGGAAGGAGAACTATGGGCTGTGAAGGCTGACCAGTACTCAGCCTGTCTAGGGCCTTCTGTGTCCATCTCATGTTCCTGGAGACTGAGCACCAGATGTACCTGCTTGCAGTGCTGGCCCCCACCTGCCCCAGCCCTCCTCCTGCTCCAAAGGCAAGGCCAGGATATTTCTTATGGTCTTGAGGTCCCACCTCAGGCTGCAGAGGCCCACACAATTCTAGGGTTGACCTGGACTTGAGCATCCTGGTAGAGCCAGGAAGTGAAGGAGTCAGATAAGTATTGGTTGAGAGCTACCTACAAGCTGTCAGTGTTGACAAATGGTCCCCTCCAGAAACAATTCCGTTTTCTGTAAGTTGGAGCATCCATTCCCAGGTTGTACGTTGAGCTCACCCCACTGCTGGTCACTTTGCTAAGGCATCAGGCCTGGGTCTTATCCTCCAGAGAGATAGCACTTGGCTCAAGCCCAGACCAAGCATGCTTGCACTTGTAGCCCCAACAGCAAAAAGAAGGCAGAGTAAAAGAAACTGCAGTGCTTGGATGTAGTCATGTCACTTTTCTTTTTCTTGTTGTGGGGCTGTTGTCTGATGTTTTGCCACCTGACTCGTGATGCTATGGAATGCTCTGCCTGCTGAGGAATAAACCCCTCTGGACCATCTCTTTGCTCCGTCGAGCTGTCCTTGTGTTCTCTGGTTCTGTTGGCTCCACAGATGTGTCCTCCATTCCTCACATGTCAGCAACCTGGAGGGTATCTTATAGGGTTTGAATAGTCACAAATAACTTTTTCCCCCCAGTTCAAAAAAAAAAAAAAAAAACCCTTTATGAAGAATGAAGCTTTTTCAAGAAGTTTTGGTTACTAATGCTTGATTGTGATATTTTTTAAATACAGTTTTATTAATCTTGATATGTTTTTAAGCATAGTTAGGAAAAGAAAATGTGCTGTCACGTGCAGATCTAGTTTGAAATCTGATTTTCCATTCCTTTTTGGAAAGGTAATTTCTGTCCCATTGTCACTGTGCTAGTCAATGACAAGTGTAGTCCTCATCTTTGCATCACTGCAATTTCCTGTGCAAAACGATTGACCACATTTACTTTCTTCCTGCCCCTGCACCCCACAGCTGGAATTTGGAGTGATTCACCACTGCACAGAAGAGCGACTATACACAGGCCGGAGGGGTCAGGGTGCCTTCTGCAACGGCCAGCGGCTTCAGGTCTCCAGGGAAACAGGTGGGGCTCTTGTGGCTCATCCCAGCTTATTTCACATAGAGAATGTGAATGGAAAATGCCAAACATCACCATCTCTTGCTGAAGGTTCCATCTCTTGTTAGGGACATCACTTCCCTGATGGAGTGGGATATTGAGTCCAGTTTGTATCTCAGTGTCTTTGTTCATGTGTCCAGGAGGTTCGAATAGTCTCCTTCTGTGTGCACTCACATCTGTGATCCCGAAGGCTACAATTCCACTCGACATAAGAGTTGGTCTGGCAGAACTGAATGAGCAATCTAGGCCAAGGGCAGAGCATCTGTGGACAGTTTGCCATGCCCACAGGTAGTGCTATCCATGTGTGGTCTGCGGCTCCCAGGGTGTGGATGAACAGTGGTTGGTGTGGAAAGCAGTTCAGTTTCTATAGGAAGACAACCTCCCTGGGGCTGAGTTGTATAAGTAAGTGTTGTTTCCAGGCACCTTAGACGTGCCACTGTAATCCTAGCTCATCCTTATTTTCATTAGTGCAGAACCTCACGGACATTGGTAGCCTGCAGAACTGGAGCACTTGCACTGCCTGTATCTGCATGATGTGACCTGCCCTAAAACTGGCCAGCTTAGCGTTTTCACACCTCCTTTTGGCCTTCCTCCCACACTTTCCCACATGTGGAACAGATACTGTAGGGGACAGAAAAATATCAAACAAAAGTAAAAAGAGGCCAGAGGAAGAGCAGCTGGAGGAGGGCAAGTCTTTAAAGGCTCGTGAATTGCCACATGATTGGATGTGAAAAAGTAGAGGGGTTATGGATATCGCTTAGTAGGAGAGCATTTGCCTAGCATATGTGAGGCCCTGACTTCCATCACCAGCACCACCAAAAAGAGGAAAATAGTATAGTTCTTCTTCCTTTCTGACTTGTGTGTTTCAGAAGCTGAACATCATAAAGTATCCACAGCCTTAGTACCACAACATTAAGGCTGTCTGCCTTCTCTCCAGCCTCTCCTCTGTGCCCACTGGCCTCTCTTTCTAGACCTCTTGCCTTTGCATCCTGTTTTCCTATCATCTCTCCTCTCTGGCTGAGGCCTGTGTGATGGCCTCAGAGGCAGTGAGGGGAGTAGGTGTGTAGCTACCTGCCACTGCTCTCCACTTGGCCAGGACCCAGCCTGTGTGGAGCTGATCCCACTGTGTGAAGGCAGCTAGTGAGAGATGGGCCAGCAGGACTGTGGGGAGGAGAGGTAGCCACAGCAGGGGCCTTGTGTGGTCCAGTGCAGGACCAGGGCAGAGGAAAGGAGAATGCACAGGAGGCAGGGGTGCCAGCAGGACAATTCAGCAGTTTGTGTTCATGACTCCAGTCTGGGATCTGAAGAGTCCCCCAACCCTTCCCCCATTCTCCCAGAGTGTTTGGTTTGGCTGCATCAAGAAGCGTAAGTTACAGCCATGTTCTCTAAGAGGCACCTGATGGGGTAACACCATAGTGAGGAAGCAGGTCAGGTGAACTTTGCTTGGTTTCATCTAATTATGACACCAAGCTGTATTCGCACCCACTTCCTTGTCTTCCTTGTTGGCTGCCTTTGTAGCTCAGTCAGGTGTTGACTGACCCACCCTCCCCAGCTCTGGCTATTTCAGGTCCCACCAGGGTGGGAGTTGGTCTGGCTCTCACTGTACCTGCCTCTGAATAGGTGTCTGGGAACTTGGTAGAAAGGAAGAAGCTGCCATCCCCAGAGGTCCTTACTTACACAGGGTCACCAACTTCTCTCTACACACTGCCATGCTGTGTCCTACCTCTAAGAAGCACTTGTGTTTGCAGTTGTGACTTTGAAAGTCTATTGTGTTGTTTTCAGCCCTGATCATTGGATCTTTCCAGCAGATGAGATGCTGCATGTGCTTTGGACAGCAAGAACTTTGGGGGACTATGCAGACCTGGCTTCGTGTCCTGATTCTGCCTCCTGCTGAGACTGTGCCCAGAGCAAGTTAGGGGACCTTTCAGAACTCCAGTCTTCAGTTCTCATGCTTAAAATGCACATGCTGACAGACAGTAAGACAGTGAGTGTGCAGCTGTCTATGTGTAATACAGCACTTAGGAGGCTGAGGCAGGAGGTTGAGGTTGTGAGTTCGAGGCCAGCATGGTCTACATAGCAGGATCCTGTCTCACCCATCCCCCACCAAAAAAAAGAAAAGTGATTGTGAGGATTAAATAAAATTATGTGTATAAAACATGTAGCATTGGATATCTACATGGTATCCCAAAATGGGAGCCATTATCAAAGAAGAAACATGAGACTCAAGGCTTCTCCCTAGATTAATCAAGTTAATATGCATTGCTATTAGGACGTGTTTCTAGAGAAATTAATCATGAAACACCGTTCACCTTTCTCTCTCTGCTTTCCTGGCTCTCCCCTACTCTACCTTCTAGAATATTTCCTACAATGTTTCAGAAATCTCTTCACCTCTACACTGGGTAAAGTTCAGGGCCAGTGTTTTAGTAACTTTTTCTTTTAGGCAAAATTTTAGACACATGCAAGGTAGATAGTCATTTACAATGAACCCAGCCACCTGATGCTCAGCTCAGTACTTCCCACTTGCAGCTAGTCCTGCTTCCCTGTACCCCCAATCCTGAGCCAAATGGACAAGACCCTGGGTGTGTCCTCACCACTGTAAAAGTAATAATAATATTAGTAGTAGTAATAATGAAAAGTAAAGTACCAGGCATCATGTCACTTTGTAGCTAGCATCAGGGTATATCTCAAAAGTATCCTGGTTTCTCCTTCCAAGACATAATCACAGTACCAGCATCAATCACCACCAAAAATGAAGTATTTTTTAAATCATTCAGTATCCTGACAGTGTTCAAATACTCACTTGTCTCATTTTATAGAAAATAGCCCTTTGTGGCCTCAGTCAGAGCTTGGGGTCACCTTTTGCTCCTGGGTCTCTACTGCTGGCCTTTTCAGTGGATGGAGCTAGGAAACAACTTATTTTTTAAGTAGAAAATGTGTCCTGAGTTCATATTGATGTATGTGTGTATATGCATACATATGTTTTGTTGTTGCAGTGGTGGGGATCAAACCCAGGACCTTACAAGTGCTAAGCAAGAACTCTACCACTGAGCTGTCAGCCCCATACTGATGTTTTTAGTTCAAACACATGACTATAATCTTTTGTACTTAACTCTTCTATATCTTCTTGCCCCATGTTAGGATTACAGGGGTGAGCTACAGGTGCCCAGCTAAAATTTTGATAGTTATGTAAAAAGTACAGTGTTCCAAAGTCAAATGTATAAAACAAAATATATTCAAAGATATTCAGCTGTTCTTCTGGCCCTCTACCCCATTCTCTTTCTTTCCCTTATAGATAACCATTTAGAATATTTTATAGTTTATCATTCTGTTTATCTTAGGTATGTTTTTAAAACAAGCAGCTGTTTCATTTGTTTTTATTCTTTTTTCTGGTATAATTTTTGGTATATAGAAAGGTTTATATTTTTGTTCTAATAACTTTCTTTGTATAACATTTTTATATAATATACTGAATCTTCTCTTTTGCAGTCAAGCTATCCTCTTCCCAGTGTGTTAGAAGATGGCACTTTTCACTCTGAGTAGCCTCGAGGCAGTGGGCAAGCCTACTCCCTGACCTCAGCCTCTCCCCGTTCTTACCACTTTAGGTGGGTGTGTGCATTGCACAGCCCTTTCCATTGTAAGCCATGTTCTTACCCTATACCGTCATTTAGCCTTGGTTCCCCAGGGAAATGCAAACATAACATCTGACACTCCATGCCACTGTTTCTCCAGTACTTTTGGTTGTGTAAAGTGCATTGTCTCACATGGCATTTCTGAAGCTTTTTGATCTTAGGAACAATCCATTTATCCTCCTGAGGAAATCACTGAAGACACGCAAAGTGCTACCTCTCTTGATACTTACGTATCGGAAGGTTAAGGTTCCTGGCATGGTGGCACACCCTAATGATTTCAGCACTGGGAGGCTGAGGCAAGAGAATGGCAAGTTTGAGGTCAGCTTGAGGTGACTTAGTGAGACTCTGTCTCAAATAAAAAAAAAAAAACTCTAGGAAAGCTTTAAAATACTTATTTTTAAAATGGAAAAGTGCATTGCATGTTTCATGGAAAATAACAAGGTTTCTAAAACACAAGAAAAAGGTACTGAGTTTGAACTTGGGGCTTCGTATTTACTAGGCAGGTGCTCTATATCACTCGAGTCACACCGCCAAAAAATGTTTGGTGTCAAACATTTGGTGACTCAAAAAATGTTTGAGTCACACCCCTAACACAAAAAATGTTTAAAGCCAGGCACAGTGGCTCACACCTGTAATGCCAGCTAGTAGAAAGCAGGCATCAGGAGGGTCAGGTTCACCAACCCAGGCAAAAAATTAGACCCCATATCAACCAGCAAGCTGGGTGTGGTGGTATGCCCTGTGAGAAGAGGATAGGATTCTGAGGCCAGCCCTGGGCAAAAATGCAATACTGTATCTGAAAAATAACTAAAGCAAAAAAGGACTGGGGGCGTAGCTCAAGTCATAGACTACCTGCCCAGCAAGCTCAAGGCTCTGAGTTCAAAACTTACTGCCATTAAAAACAAAACCAAATTTAGTGAGGACTAGGGCAGTGTTTTACTGTCTCCAAATCTTTTATGTCAACTAGAAGAAATCCAGATTCTCGTATGTGCTTCTGTGTTCAACCATTTATAGCATAGTACTACGAGTTACGAAGAGAACCTGGCCTTAGGGAGACGTGTAGTAGTCAGAAAGGGAAGGAGCATTTTAACCATGTTGCAGATAATTGAGATACTCTCTTTTGATACTAAACCAAAACTTAGTAAGCACTGGATTTTCACGGGTTAGTTGCAATGTGGACTCTGATGGCATAGTGATTTACTTGTTTATTTATTTATTTTATTTTGGTGGCCCTGGGGTTTGAACTCAGGGCCTCATGCTTGCTAAGCAGGTGCTCTTATGGCTTGAGCCACTCTGCCAGCCCTTTTTTGTGGTGGGTTTTTTTGTTTTTGTTTATTTTTA